CCGGCCCACAGCACGGCCCTCGGCCCGCTCACCGGCCCACAGCACGGACAGCAGTGGCAACAACATCTTCACGATCCCAGGGGCCTGTCCTCAGACCGACTGGCTTCTGGACCCGCCTGTCTGTCCCAGAAGGAAACTCTAACAGGAAGCTTCTTGGGGGAAGAAGAGGGTAGTGACTGTCCATGGAAGAGGAACCTCAGAAAGGGAACCACAAAGTCCTGACAAATCCCTTCTTCCCACTTCTCCTTTCACAAATGGAAGAAGCAGAGCAGAAAGGACACGGGGCTTGCCCTCCACAGGGAAGGAGCCCGGCCTCGGCCCAGGTGAGGTGCTGGGGGCAGGATTCATTCCCCCATCCATTCATTCACCAGGCAAACATCTACTCCCTACAGGGGCTGGGACACAGGGAAGAACATGACCCGCCTGACTCCCGCCCTCAGGCACCACACCTCATGTGACCTCCAAACCCAACGCCCTCTGGCTCCCCAAGGGCACTCAGTTCCCCACCAGCCTTGGGGCTGTCTGCTGTCCACACAAGCTCCCAGCTCCACAGTGAAAAGCTGGCAGGGACACAGGGTCCCCGCACTCAGAAGGGCCTCACACTTGGGGTGGGACGCTCTCTGAGGTCACCACCTTGAATCCTTAATCATTTTATTCCTTCTTTAAGGGCTTTTTTTTTTTTTTTTTTTTTAAGGACGCAGGGCTTGACAACCCTGAGATCAAGAATTGGATGCTTGGTTGATTGAGCCACCCAAGCGCCCCTAGATTTGAATTTGTGTTTTGTAACTGAAGTCTAATGGGATGAGGAGTACCAGAGGGGGAAATTGGATCCTTGGATCACACGCCTCTCCCACCCTCCTCCTCCCCCATCCCCCATCCCCCGGGGCAGGTTCTCAGCCCCATTCCCACCCCCAAGCCCTACCTGGGCATAGAGAGGATCTGAGCTTTGCTGAGTTGAGAGTTGGGAGCCCCAGACACCTGTGAAGGTCTACACTGCCCACCCCCGAGTCAAACCTGAGGGGCAGGACATTAACTAGCTGTTGGGGAAGGTCATCGAGAAGATGGGACCCAGGCCACTGGAGGCACCTCACCCCCTCCCTGTGCTTGGAATGTGGGTTCTGCATGCCTTTCCTGCTCCCAGATGCTGTTCCAAGGACTCACAGCCTTGAGAACTCCTGCAGCGTGTAGGTGACTGAGCCCAGTTAAGGCCTCCCTGTACATAAGATTTAAGATTTGGAGGGCGGGTGCAGGGTCCACTGGTCTTGCTGCTGCCCAAGATAAGCCCTGTATTTAAGTTCCCTTTGCTTATTAAAACTGCCGCCTGGGGCACCTGGGTGGCTCAGTCGTTAAGCGTCTGCCTTCGGCTCAGGTCATGATCCCAGGGTCCTGGGATCGAGCCCCACATCAGGCTCCCTGCTCGGTGGGAAGCCTGCTTCTCCCTCTCCCGCTCCCCCTGCTTGTGTTCCCTCTCTCTGTGTGTCTCTCTCTGTCAAATAAATAAAATCTTTAAAAAAACAAAACAAAAC